ACCACCACCACCACCACCATACGCGGTCTCAAGTGGTCTCAGTTGCGGTTCTGAAATAAGCATTTTAAAATGTTTTCAAAATATGTTGGGCACTTTGGAGAAAATCCAGGACTCGCTGGAGGGATTATGTATCCCCTCTAGCCTGGGAACGTCTCGGAGACCCCCAGGACATGGATGGTGTCGCTGGGGAGAGCGGGGTCTCCTGCTGCTGCCCCCACGACCCGATCCCGGATAAGCCGGCCGGATGGACAATTTATATTGTTAGTCTAAATTATTACATTTAAAATTATAACTCTAATTCAAGCAGAAWAGCCTATTGTCAACATAATTATGGAGTGTAATTTATTTTCAACTCAAAATATCTTCAAACTAACAAAATATAAAGTTATTAGGGAGGAAAATCAGTCTGGATAACAGCAGACTGACTGCTCCTACAATATACGACAGGTCTGGACCACTCGTGAATTTTGTTTGTATCTGAAAAAAGTCTTAGAATACGAAAACATTGGTGAATGCACACCAAACAAAAGCTTGGGTCTCAGGAGGTTATATGGTGTAACATGCAGGAGCTTAGACAGTGATTCCTAACCAGGGGTACGTGTTCCCCTTGGGGTAAAAATAAATAAATAAAACTAGGACTGGGATACGTAGGGCCCCATGATTTCCACAATGGGGGAAATGCAGATGGAATCACGAAATTGATACAAAATGGAATCCAGAATAAAATTTGAAATCTCACGGAATTTGCTAATTTGGACGTGTTTCTGATGTATTTTGGATACTGCTGCTTCCTTCACCTGCCATTACCTGGTTTAATTATTTAATTACTTATTTACTCTCAAGGCAACATTTTTATCTTTATGTTTAATTTGAGTAGAAAAGAATAAAATGCCTGAGAATTATGTAAATGTTCTAGGGGGTTAAACCATAATTTTCATTTAATAATCAGCTTTTGTACATTATAGTTTTGGAGAATCATCATTACGTTTTACTGCGGGGCTACTAGTGGTATTTGACAAAATGGCTCAGGGGGCACACAAGTCTAAAAATGTTTGGAACCACTGGTTTAGATTGAACATTTCTATATTACTGTCAGCTGTAAACATAGCTCCTCAACTGCTATTGTTGCCCCGCCTCTATCACAGGTGAAGCTCTGAGCTCACCTGTGGGTCAGAGTGAAGGAAGTTCTTCCTCAGATCTTTGGACTGTTTGGACGGTCAATTGAATTCTTGTCTTGATGTTTTCTCTGTAAGGTTTGAAGGTATTCCAACATGAAGTGTCATCATTCTGCTATCTGAAGACAAATCTACAGGATTACTGATTAACATGTGACAATCCGGGAAAGGTGAGTTGCTATGTTTTTCACACAATATATTAGGTAAAATGTAATTTATTCTAAACTGTCCATTCTGAACAACTTTCATGACAATTTGATAACTCAATGTGGTTTTGAAAGACTCTCAAGCTGGATAATCTGATCAAGTCGTTCTGAGAAATTTGCATCTTTTTATAATTCTATTAAAACTGCATGACGTTCTTATTCCTCAAACAATATTTATCTCCACCATAACCTTCTTGGAATCAGGACTTGAGAAAACATGTTTCAGTGATTCAACTGTTTTACTGCAAAAGTTGCAAAGGTCAACGTTAATTGTCTGCAAAGACATTCTTCCATCAGCCAAACCTCTGAGATAATCTTTAACTTATTTCTTTCTTTTAAATAAAATTGACATTTTGTTCATTTTAACATGGCAGTCATTAAACATCTGTGATTTAAACATTTTAAATAGAAACTAAACCCATTATGGCAGCTTTGGTAAAAATAAAATAAGACTTATTTACCTTTAAATTACCAGAAACTTTCATATTAAAATGACTTCACACTCAGTTTAGATTATAATCAGCCAAAGCTATGACAAAATGTGTGTTTGTTTGTGCCCACGTCCTGTTTGAAAATGAGATCTCAATATTGAAGGGAGTTTAGATGTGGTTATATAAAGGAAATTAAAGAAGACAAACAATCCTGAAGGTTAGCACTCACTGTAATAATTAAATTTAACATTTTTCCAGTCACACAGATTTTTTCCTCCAACTGATGACTTTTTTTTTCCAAAGAGTTGACCCGTGATGAGGAAAAGAACCTTTGCGGCATTTACTGCACACGTGTGAGAGGGAAATTATTACATTGTTTGATGTTAAGGAATAGATTTTTTAAATAAACTGTTCTGATGCAAGAGCAAAAACCTGAAAATTATTATTATCGACAAGGATTAATCCTTTGAAAAGGATTTTTTAAAAGCACTTAGCTCATGTAAAATTCTTTGTCCAAAATTTAAACTACACTAATCAGTAGGGTGAGTAACTGGGGTGAAATGGGGAGTTCTTGTCAACCACCAAGCATTACTTTAATCCAGGAGTCAATCCAGTAGTACCATCATATCTGTGTAAATCATCTGAATCATACGAAAAAGCTTTGGTAAAACAGCTGAGAAATCAGGACTTCAAGTAAAAAGGAATGTTCAATAATGACAATGTTTTTTATGAAAATCAGCAATTAACCATCTGTAGAAATTATTAGTGTAATTGAGATATTACTGCAGTTAATGAAAGTTAAATTAAATCCATCCAGCATGTATGATTAAACCCTTATGTTGAGAGGTTTTGGCTTGATATAGTCGGACTCACCTCTACGCCGCTCTGGAACCAGTCTCCTCAAGACGGGCCGGATACTCTTGCACTCTGGAGTTGTCCATGCTGAGAGGCGCCGAGCAGGAGTGGGCATACTCATTGCCCCACATCTTGATGCCTTTACGTTGGGGTTCACCCCGGTGAACGAGAGGGTAGTCTCCCTCCACCTACGTGTGGGGGGACCGGTCCTGACTGTTGTTTCTGCCTGTGTGCCTAACAGCAGCTCAGATTACCCATCCTTTTTGGAGTCCTTGGAGGGGGTGCTGGAGAGTGCTCCTAACGGGGACTCCCTCCTTCTGCTGGGGGATGTCAATGCTCATGTGGGTAATAACAGTGAGACCTGGAGGGGCGTGGTTGGAAGGACCCCCCTCCCCCCCGCCCCCAATCTGAATCTGAGTGGTGTTTTGTTATTGGACTTCTGTGCTCGTCATGGATTGTCCACAACAAACACCATGTTCAAGCA